ATATAGTTAGTTATAGTTGGCTGTGACCGGATATAGTCACGATTTCTTGCCATCCATTGATTTCTTGCCATCCATTTCTCTTGTCTGTATCCGCAAGTGTACATGTGAACGCGGTATCAATAGATGCTGATTGCTTTTCACTCATTCATTATTAGGTTTGCGGACCAGAAATGCACAACATCAAAGCCACATGGCCGAGGCCATTCATTCTTTTCTTCTGGACTTCACGCCTACTCATAGTAAAGGTATGCATCTAGGCGGGTATACTGTGCTTTTTATTAGGATGGAAAACCTGGATCGTTTATATGTACGAGTGAATTGACCTTTCTGATATGCTGTCTGCGGAAAGTATCCCTGAGCTCCCAAGGTTGTGAGGCGGTACTCGCGCGCTGTCATCGAAGTATCGGCATAGACAAGAGAAGAAAAAAACAGGACATTATTTAATGGCTGCATGTGCTTGATGTTGCAAGGATATGCTTCTTCATATTAATCTACATGATAAGAGTTCGCTTATTTAGTACAGTACTTAACATCATATACACAAACCCGCACCAGTTATCAAAGGGAACGACACCCGATACTTTTCGGGGGGTGAGGTGGTTGCCTACCTACTGGACAAGTCGATTCTGACGAAGGAGAAGCGTGCGAAGGAAGTGGCTCAGAAACTGCTCGCCACCCGACAGATGTAAGTGTGCGCTTGAGCTTCTGACGTGTTACGCTGCATCAATATACCTCTGTATAGTTCGGTCCTTTGTGCCAGCTCGTTCCATAGTGGACATTCGTTGTCGGATGCTGACTAGACTAATCTCGAAAGGACTAAAGGCACATACAACAGGCCATACATTGTCAACTATAAGGCAGGATATAGTTTGTATGTACTTTTGCCTGTCTGTGATTAGGACTCACCTATGTTCGGGATTACGAGACAGGTGGCTCGAAAGACTAATGGAAACCCTATGAATATAGTCCAGTGAATGCCCTTTACCGCACACACGTGAGTGGGCTGCCATACAACCATACGCTCACAAGCACACACCTACGCGTGAATTGCTCTCAACAGAGGTACACGCATATATACAGACACACCGCGATATAGTAAACACGGATACGCATCTGAACACTGATATTTTTGCACATTAAGACGCCTCAACATACGCATTACCGCGTCTTCAATCAGCATCGATCGTTTCTGCTACGAACCACCTTACTGCAAAGTTTATAACTTCTCGTCGGAGGGGGTTTTTTTTGTTTAAAGAACTCGTTAAGGCATCACATGTTTCTTCATTGTGAGAAGGCCCGTTTTCCTATCAGTAAATTGTCCTCACGGTTACCTTACCTGATCACTCCCTGATCTGCTGGATATGCACCGCCTGTGCAACACATACGCAGTCTCTACCTGGACACGGGCATCAAGGATACGCGTTTCGATGTGAGTGCGCTATATGTTCTGGCACGAGACGTGCGAGAGGAGCGGAATCTGATGAAGCTACCCTACCAGTCTGGTAAGTACCGGGTTGTTTCGAGTAGTTAACAGAGGAACCTGCGTGTGCATGTCACCGGCTTACACGGAGGTAAGGGCTGTGTAAATATACGTTGCTATGGTCACAGAACGGAAGGAAATACAAGCTACGAAGACCTGTCGTATTTTTTCCAATTGCATGAGGGCATCGCATATCTATGTCTTATGTCTTGTGTCGTATATATCGACAACCCCAGGTATATAAATATCCATTCGAAGTGTAGTAGTTCAAAGTTCTCAGATGAAAGGATATGGCTGTCATGGCAAGCGGGTTCCTCAAATGGGGTATGGAGTGCAAGTGACGCACTCTCTGACTCTCTCACTACTCACACAATGTATAAGGCCGGTGCGTGCGTTCACGAATTCATTGCGCCGACACAAACGTGCGTAGCCACGTCGCGTGCATATGTGATTAAGTGTGTTGACCCTGTGCATATGTGTGATTAAGTGTGTTGACCCTGTGCGTATGCGATTAAGTGTGTTGACCCTGAAGACTCATTCCATCCCGTACACCCAACAGAGGGGCTGACCCCCATATTCAATCCGTACGGGCAAGACGGCCTGGAACTGTTTGGGATCGACTGGATCACCACCCGTATAATCCTGTGCATGCTCAGCGGATTTCTGCTGTTTAGATTGGTGATGGCGGACTGGTAGAGAGTGGGGCAGTGTCTGTCTGTATGTATATGTATGAGCAGAGCACTTTGCTTATCGAAGCAATTGCATAGAGTGCGATGGGAAGGGCACGTTTGAGCTGGACGAATGAAGGTGTGCAACTGGCTCTAAGCGCAAACGCAGAGGACGTGGAGAGGATAAGCTTGATAGCGTGTGCAGGGCAAACCTGGGAGGGGCTGGGTGCGTCGAAGTATTCTGTTCTCTGATGAATTATACAGGTGAAATCTGCCCTAAAACTACGACAGGCGCAGGTGCTATTCTAAGAGCCTGGATCCGCCATATGCCTATCTGAAGCATCTGGAGGATTATGGGCTTTGTATCACTCCATTCCGATAGATGTCGAGTACTCAATCAAACCGCGAGAATGTGCGCAAGCTGGAGACGCCTGAAATGGCGACCGCAGTGCAAGCCGTCCAGGTCATGAGAAACGAGTTGTGAGGACAATTGTGAGCACGCGAGAATTTAATACGGCCTCCCATTCCACCTCTCACAACACACAAATAGCACAGGATGTAGCGGAGAACTAGTACACACGTCCGGTGGGTCACAAATTACCCGAATAGGAACTCTATGATACAATATTGCAACGGAGCTTCAATTTCCGAAACACCGGTAGAATGATCATTCAGAGAGGTCGATTCCTTCCAAAGTAGAAAAAGTAGGGCCATGTGCCCATGTGATTGATTAGACATCGGTAGAATGATCATTCAGAGCGGTCGATTCCTTCCAAAGTAGAGAAAGCAGGGCCATGTGCCCATGTGATTATTAGAATTGCTATTTATGGCCAAAGCGCTTATGTGGCATAATGATTTAAAAACAAATACTCTACAATTACGATACCAAGCATCGGAGGCTGCAGCCGGCTGGGCGAGATACAATACAACCACTTTCTGGTTGATATCTGTGTGTGATATTCCGTGGCCAATGCTGGAGCCAATCCAAACAGTGCCTGGCACAGTTGGATACAAGTACAAGCATGAACACCCTCTCCCCCCGCGCCCTCCCAAATGGCTAGCCCAGCAGTAGCGCTACGGATACAAAGTAGAAGACCGCCTGTAACGGGTACATTGGGGGACAGGAGGTAACTATGACGACACCTCGCATCGGTATCAGGCTATGAAGTTGTTCGACTACAAGATTAGAATCGGCTGGGAATGACCGGCCTAGAGCCCTGATCTCGTCGTTCCGCGGCAGCTCACAACGTCGCATACATACGAAGGCGAAACCTCATGCTTCCATGCGAACTGTAGCACCAGGGTTGTGTACTGGCCTGAGCCCTTCGCTCCTCGAATAAAGCTCACGTCTCACAGACACCTAGGTGGATGACGATTCCATACTACGTCTCAATGTTCGATCGTTCTATTTCGTGGCTGTGGCCGCATTAATGCTCGTGCATCGACAAGTAAACAACCCGTGATTGTAATGTATGTAGCTGTTTTGAGTCCATGGCCGGCAGGGGAGCACATATACTTTTCTCAATTGCCTTTTCTGTGTAGATATGGCGGGTACGTACCACACACACACACACACACACATATATATATATATAAATAAATAAATAAATAAATAAATAATATATATATATATAATATATATATATATATATGTATATTGTATATATATACTTATTATATATATATATATATATATATATAAACCCACAACTTCAATACAATATATCTTACAGCAACTGAGTGTGTGGTAGACGTTTGTTATGTGTGAAGAATATACCGCTGTACTAGCATAGGTTATTATCGTTGGTTGGCATTTATCGATGGCAGTCATTAAAACAGTACAACGTAAAGCTATTGTCAGCCCGTAGTCTGGTATCAGTATGCGACATAGATATGCACTTCAGCTTCCGTTTAACAATCTGAACGTGGGGTTTCTAGAACACTTGCGGGATGTTCCCAGTTGTGAGAGTTTGTTACAAATTGATTGCCCGAAGTTAATTAAATGGAGAATGCAAACCCAAGTGACTCCAAACTCGTGTTATGGTTTTTTACTATCAAGAATCACGTATATGCTAATCCTTGTTTTTTACTATCAGGGATCACGTATATACTTATCATGTTGTTTTACTTTCAAGAATCACGTATATGCTTATCCTTGTTTTTTACTATCAAAAATCACGTATTTGCTTATCTTTGCTTTTTACTATCAAGAATCACGTAATATGCTTATCCTTGTTTTTTGTTGTTCCTGGTGGCATCCGTGATTTCTGCCTTGCGATACAAGGGATCTATATATCATTGCAATCGGGATACTCCACTCGACTAGCGAATTGGACACAACGGAGAGTCAATGTATGTATCATAATCTGGCACGACTAGCATCCAATCAACAATATGGTGTGGCCCGTGGAACTCGTACAGTCTTATTATAACTGTACCATATTATACAGCTCTAGCATCCAATCATCAATCGTACAGTCTTATTATAATTGCACCATATTATACAGCTCTAGCATCCAATCATCAATATGGTGTGACCCGCGGAACTCGTACAATCTTACACACCATACAATACAGCGCGAAATCTGCTCCTGTTCGTTCCATTGCGAGAATTTGACCAGGTAGAGTCACGTTCTTATTTTTTACTAGTACGACTACTCGCACTATCTCTCCTCGTGAAAGATGATAGTGAAGCGACAGTCGGAGTTTGGATTACTCTCACGGCTCCGCTGGACCAACTACTAGGACTAAGCAGGTAATGAAAACAGGCAGAATACGATCGGACATCCGACCCCGTAGGCCGATAGGAGACCCAGAGGAATCCGGAGATGAATACAGACGAATACAGCTCAAGAGAACATAGTTCCCTCACTTCTTTATTCAAAGCGACATCACGTGGGTGGCCTGCGTACGTTACTGTTGCCCAGAGTTGAGTGTTGAACCGACGATCGCCACTGCTCGGCCGGCGTCGTATTAGTTGCAAATGGCATGGAGGGGTTGTTAGAAATACTTGTCGCGTGAACAAGATGCCGGAAGATAGGTATGATAAATTTCGTGGGTGCCGGTCCTGTTATATAGATGTGTACAGACCGGCTTGCCGTACATCTGGGCTCTCTATTCGTGGACATGCATATTAAATTCCACAGCCACAAAAGCAGTAAGAAACGGCACACAGCGTAACAAACTTTTTTGCGCTATCTGCATTTCTGTACATACACAAGTGCATATGCGAGCGTAATTATGCTATGATATATATATATATATATATATATATATATATATATATATATATACTACTATATATATACACAACACACACACAANAGTATATATATATATATATATATATATATACTATTATATATACATACATATATACATATATACATATATATATATATATTTATATATATATATATATAGATATATAGAGAGAGAGATATATATATATCCTTGTATCATTGTTGTGCATTCATTACGCTTACCTTATTTTGAAGTATGTTCCTTAGAACAGGTCCATGGACATCATTCCGGTATTCTTCGAAATGAATAGACCCCTTGCCGTCTCTCGTTGTGTATACATGTGCTTTCGAATGCTCCACTCGTTGCCTCACCTTGATCTTGAATAGTTGTTGATCGTTCATTAATCTGAATAAATAAAAGATGTTAAAAACATCATTCCAAGGATACAGCCAGAACACCTTACGTCGAGAGCACGGTAAACTGGCACGGTAAACGACGTACTTGAAAATGGGACGTAGTTTATCTAAAAGAAACGTGGTGACATACTATATCCACCAAAGCAATACAGTAAGCAGCATTGTGACCATACAACTATACTATCGAATGCACTTTACGTACATATTATATGCATCCGGATTCGCCTGTGTGTATCTCTCCACGTCCAGGTTGATGAACATGCCATGAAGGTCTGCGAGCAGGCTATACAAGTGCGTTCGATGGGGTTCCCACTTGTCCCACTTCCTGTCTAGGGAAACCAGTCCAGTCTTTGCATCCACTGCCTATCGTTACATACAATTGTCAAGAACATAGCCAAATCCACTTAAGCGAATACAGTCACATCGGTGCTAGAGACTCATCTGTTAAGGCACGGCATCGACTCTGACGTGACGGATTGATTCTCTACCATGCACATATGTACAATCCACACAAGTGGCTCCCATAGTTCAACACATTGCTTCGTAATTATGATGTGAGATCAAGGCACGATTTTCAATTGCTGGCCAAGATTTATTTGTCTTATTTTATATTTTGATTACGGTACGGCTGATCCAACCAATTATGGAAAATTGGCAATGAACACATGAGAGAAGTAGAAGAGCCTGGGGGCAATCATCGTGTGTTATAAAAACAACTTCGCATACTTACCCTGTTTTGTTACTACCCAATGAACCACATGAAACACCGATATACACTATTAGCACCAAAAAAGTTACAGATAATCTTTGTCAGATGGATAAGCAAATATACCTACCGGATGAAAGACATCACTCGTGAACTGGATCGTTGGGACTTCTTCAGTGGGAAAACTGTGTTAAAAATTAAGCAGGACACCATTGAGATTCGTATTGTGCCATCAAACACGCTGCGCCTATTGAAAGTGCATTCAACAGCCCCGAAACAAAAAAAAGGGGGGGGGGGGGGGTTGCCAATATGACTGCACACGAACAGAACACACGCACAAACTCAATACTAAAATACAATGGAAACAACATGCACATCGACTGCATATAGCGTAAGGGGTACGTACGTATCTGATGCGCAGATAAATATACCAACCGAGCGCACGAGTGGGCGGGCACATACTTGTCGGGGATGTATACGTCAAATTTGAATATTCCACCTTCATAGCTGCCTTCTCGCACGAACAGCACGCCATGCCAAACTGTAGAGAGGGGCAAAAAGCAGTTCAACAGTGAAAATGAAATCATAAACCTAAAGGCGTATCGAGTTGGCACGCACATTTCGTCTGCAACAGTTGCATTTGCTGCAATAGGAATTATACAAGATCGTTCGATAAAGCGTTGCAGTCTTACGGAAAATAGCATCAAGGTAAGGATAAACAGTAGGAAACACGGGTGAGTATAAACTGGTAGCGAGCTATTGCAAATACGCACATACTTTGTGTAGTTTCTGTGGAAGGAATAACGTACATGCCCGGTGGGGAATTGTCACGCAGTAATTTACTGTTGAAATAAAATGGTCCAAAGCATCAGTTTCCCATACTATACTAAATTACTTCACTAGGATTGAAACCCATTTAAAAGAATACTTGACAATCAAAATAATCATCTCGATAAGAACTCAGATTCAAAGTACTTCTCTGAAACCAAGGAAAGGACGTATTGAATAACGGTCATCTACTCTTACACAAATAAATATACACATATCTGATTAGGTACACTGATATGCATGTGATGAACATGCAATCCCATGATGTATATACATGAATACAAAGGCATATATATACATATATATATATATATATATAATGTATTTATATGTATATACATATATACG